TATATATTTATTTTTTTTTTTTGTATTTTTATGCGTGTCATGTGTGTCTGTATGTGCACTGCGAGGCGGGGGGGCGCCAGTAACCATAGCAATGTGCAGCAGTTTCAGTACGTGTGCACTGTGCGCGGGGTTAGACAGAGAGGGGTCACAGAGCCGGTGTCGAGTAGAAAGTGCTGTGTCGTTTGAAATGAACTATAGATTCGTTTTTCACAAGAAAAAATAATCCAGAAACTCCTGTCGGTCCTGTGCCAGTTTCCCAAACTTCCGACAACGATAGTTCAGAGGACGAGTCAGCAGGTGATGTCGCAGCACCGAAAAAGCCAAAGCCTTATCATTTCCGACAAAAATGGCTCACTGAATTTACGTGGTTGAGATATTGTAAAGAAAAGAAAGTGATGTCCTGCATGTACTGCTCTCAGTGCGGTCTGAAATTTGCGGGGAAAACTAAATTCGCTGACTCCACTACACACTTCAACCATGAAACGCTGGTTAAGCACAACAACAGCATCAGGCATAAATTATGCAGGGACAGATGCAATGATGGAGCAAAAGCGCCGCTGCACACATCATTTAAGAGGCAGGGTTGTCTGTGTTTATTGCTAAATTATCAGTAATGCAGTTAATATAGACAAAATTATGAATATGTTGTGTCGATATAGATAGTGCTCCTAAATTTTGTGCTGGTGCTCCTAAAATTTTCAGTAAGGAGCAATGGTGCTCCTAGTGGAAAAAGTTAGTCTGGAGCCCTGTATAAAATGTGAGCAGAGAAAGTCTCTGGAGCTGATACTGGATTACTTCAAGGCCTTTCTCTCTGATGTCAGGAAGCCAGTTTGATAGTAAAAATACATGAAGCAGGGCTCACTGTACGATCAGGGGTTCAAGGATTTGAAGCAGTTTATGCTGTTACAAAGTTGAGCCATGAACAAAGGAGAAAGAGATGCTTGCTGGACTGGAACTGATGATGTTGCAGTTAATGGTCGGCATCTTCTTAACCCCTTCATGTCAAGATCATTTATAAATACAGGGTTTAACCTTTTTTAAGCTGCATCGCAAATCATAATTGTTGTTACATCATATCACATTTAACCACTGACATTTTTAGATGGAAACAACCAGCTCCTTGTGCAAAAACCTTTTTCAAAAGAAAGTTTAGGTAAGGTTAAACTTTATGTCCCCAAGGGGCAATTTGGGATACAGACCGTAGTCATAAGTACATTCAGATTCAAGTGAAACACATCACACTGTCTTGTTTTTTGACTATAGTTTTTTCCATGACGTCATTTTAATAAATTCTCAGAATCAGAATTTGCTCGGCTTTTTTTTTCTCGTGTTACACTCAACTCACTCCGCAGCGACCTCTCCCATCCTTTTGTCCTAGCCTAGACATCATTTTCTTGTGCTACTGTCAGATAGCTCTGTGGCATTCAGAGTTGTTGCTATATTTTTTTTGAAGATTTTATAGTAATACCTATAAAGATTGAGGTGTAACTGATAAATAACGTCAGTGAGTGTCATCAGTAGGGCTTCACTCAAAAGAGATACACTGATCACATAATTTATTAATTAATAATTTATTTCCTTTAAATTAAGTCATTGAAAATGGACAAAATGGTGCTTGTAAAAGCACTTGAAAGTCCTTGAGTTTAATTTTGTAATGTCTATGAACCCTGTAAATGTGCAGCACCTGGATCACTTGCGGACCAACAGAGCAAACCTCAAGCCCCCCCAGGTGCAGATGCTGGAGCAGCTGGAGAACCAATTCTCTCTCATGCAGCAACATCAGCTGCAGGTAATTATACAGTTAAACATGACTGCAGTGATATAGAGCTTTGCATCTGTGACGTAAAGCTGTACGTTTGTGTTTGTCCAAGTGTTAATGTAGCCGCACAGCATCACTGAGTCATCTCTGCTTCTCTCCTGTGCGTCAGATGAGGCAGCAGGCAGCAGCGAGTGGCCAGCCGCGGCCCAGCCTTCCCAACGGTCCTTTGGCTGAGCCCTCTCACCACCACGCAGGCCTCTCCCGCGCCTCTCCCCTTAATCACACAGCCATCCGGCCCCCGTGTGTCACCCAGCCCACAGCCAATGGATCCTGTTCTTCGAGTCCTTCAGCGGGGCTGCTGGGACACCTGGACAAAAATCACACCCTGGGACTGGGAGGTGGCGGCGCGAGCAACGGAAACGTGCCTTACCCGCAGCAGAACTCTCTACCTCACAACTGCACAGCCGCCAGTCACCCCAGCACCAGCAGCACTACCAGTAGTCCCAGTCATGCAGACGAGACATGGAGGAGCCAACAACGCAACACTACCACTCAGGTATCTCACTGGTGTTTCCAGAGTTTTATCTGTTGCTCAAACGGCCTCATCTGTGCCATGTATTTATTTATTTATTGTTTGGTAAAGAGCCGATCCATCTGCGTTCTTCTATTGGGTTTTTTAAAATAGAAATGCCAAGGTTAGAGCAGCATGCGCTGATAATAATATTGCATGCGTTTTATTTTCAGTTAAAGTCACTGTGTTTTGAATTCGAAATGTAAAGTAGATCTGTTTTTATTATTTTAATGGTGTGTTTTTTTGGTCTTCCTCTCCGTCCAGGGGCTTCAAAAAGGTCCAGGTTCACATTCGGCAGGTCCCAATGGAGAACCCCCTTTCTCTTCCTCCTCCTCCCCTCAGACCTCGTTCTCTTCCTCTGGCATTCTGAATCAGGTTGGACATTCCTCTGGGCCCTGCACTGCCTCCTCCTCAGCCTCCTCTTTATCCCCCACCTCCCCCCAGACCACACCCAACCACTTGTCCTCGCCCCCCCACGCCGCTACTACCTCAGGGGTCCACACCAAAGACACCACGCCTTCAGGGGGCAACAACGGCAGCAACGGCGCTGCAGCCACTTTGCCATCAGGTCCGGAGGCCGCCGTCAGGCATTCCGCAGGGACGCCCTTAAGTCCCAGCAGCACCCCCGCGCAGGGACTGACTAATCACGTCCAGCCGCGGGTGACGGACGGCTCCACCAGCCCGTCTCAGCCTGCCTCTCCTGCCCCCGGCGTGCTCAGTTCAGACAATCCTCAGCTCTCAGCCTTGCTAAAGGGAAAAGCCAATACTACCAGTAATGACGATAACAATAACTACAGTAACCATGGAGGCCCTTCCTCAGAGAAAATCAACAACGTCCACCCGGGTCTCCACGGCGCCGCCAAGCCAACGTCGGAGCAGTCGGCGGCATCCTCGCCACTTTTAGCCACAGCTTCGCCCTCTCCACGCTCAGCAGACCCTCACACCACCAACAGCCTCTCCTGCCTTAACAGCCCGTCCACCACCAACAGCCAGGCGCCCACAGTCAACGGGAAGGGGCTGGAGGACTCCCAGAGCCCCAAGAAGGTGGAGCCATCTGCAGGAGCTCAGAGACACACTGTCCCTGCTGGTCTGGCACCCTGGTCCTCGGTCTCCATCTACCCCAGCTCCAGTGAGGTGCTCAAAGCGTGCAGGTAAGACTCCTGTTATCTGTAGTTAACCTTTATGTGTAGGTGGGTCTGAGAGATTAAGAATCAGTGATGTTTTTGATCCTGTATTTATATTTTTTTGCCTCCGCCCGGGTGATGGCCGTGACCGGAGGCGTTATGTTTTTGGTTTGTCCATCACCCCATTCTCATGACCGCAATATCTCAAGAACACCTTGAGCGTATTTCCTCAAATTTGGCACAAATGTCCACTTGGACTCAAGAATAAACTGATAAGATTTTTTTGTGGTCAAAGGTCAAGGTCACTGTGACCTTGTCTGTCTCATTCTTGTGAATGCAATATGTCAGGAACGCCTTGAGGACATTTGGCACAAACGTCCACTTGAACTCAATGATGAACTGATTAGAATTTGTTGGTCAGCGGTCACTGTGACCTCATCTGTCGCATTCCTGTGAATGTAGGTCACCTTAAGAGAATTTCGTTAAATTTGACACAAACATTTACTTGGATTCAACAATGAACTGATTTGATTTTGTTGGTCAAAGTTCAAGGTCACAGTGACCTTGCATCCATATCATTGTTGTGAACAAGGTATCTCATAGCACTCAAGAGAATTTCCTCAAATTGGGCACAAATGCTCACTCGTACCCAAGGATGAACTGATTAGAATTTGGTGGTCAAAGGTCAAGATCAGTGTGACCTTTCATCTACCTCATTGTTGTGAATGATACATTTTGAGAAGGCCATAAGGGGATTTCCTCAAATTTGGCGCGAACGTCCACTTGAACTCAATGATAAACTGATTTGATTTCGGTGGATAAAAGTTCAAGGTCACGGTGACCTTGCATCCATCTAATTATCTTGACCACAACATCTCAAGAACACCTTGAAATTTCCCTCAAATTGGGCACAAACATTCACTTGGACTCAAGAATAAACTGATTAGAACTTGGTGGTTTAAGGTCAAGGTCACTATGAACTCAAAAACACCAATTTGGCTATAACTCAAGAATTGATACACCAAGTATGACAAAATTTCACATGCATGTCGCATAGAATAAAATGATGTGATGCCATCATATATCCAAAAGGTCAAAGGTCATCTTCCCTGTGACATCATAATGTTCTCTGGCCATTATTCCAGGTCATATCTCAGTAGCAGAAGGGGAGACACTTGGTCAGATACTGAATTGGTGACTCTAGTCTTCAAACTGTGCTGATTGGACAGATCCTCTGTGTGAGAAGCATCCATGTTTTAGACACTGCAACATATTTGAAGTATTATCCACTGTCATGGTTTCATGTGAGTCTGCACAGACATGGATGTAAACTATAACTGCAGCTTGACTGATTGATGAATGCATACAACCATGAGGTGATAATTTTAGGTTTGGTCATTTATGACTTCCTGGAAATAATTTATTCTGGTTCTCAGACTGTCTGCAGCATTTTTGACAATTTATAAAACCAACAGAATAATCACTGGTCATTGAATGTCTTAGTTTGTATTAACATTTTAAATGTTTTTTTTTTTTTTTAATCACTGGCTGCTGTTGTTCAGATCACAGCCAATAATTTGAGACCATTAACCAATCAGAAGCTGTGTTATTGAGTGTTATCGAACCAGGTATGTGTGGGCATCCCGCTGCTCACACCGACCCATTGTTAACTGAAAAAGACAACATGGCGTGATGCTGAATGTCTGTGGCAGTTCCGCAGCAGCAGATGCATTCAGATGTGAAATCATGTGCAGACGTGAGTAATGTGTTGATTCTCCGCTGCGTTTGGGAAATGTCATGACATTTTGACCCCACGCTGAGTGCTGGTTGGACTCATCATCGTGTTTGGATAAAATCTGCCACTTTGTGTCTTTGAGGCAGAAGTGCAGAAATACTTTGAGCTGATGTCACACACAGATCGGAGTACAGCTCTCGGTGTGTGTGCGGGTGCGGCTGCTTGGAGTTTGAGTCCAGTAGGGAGTGGACGTGATGCTGTTGTCATGAGCTTCACTTTCTCTGTAGTCCTCGTGCAGCGCCCTCTCGTCTGCCACGCTCACATCACACATCTCCCACTGGACATAAAGAACTACAGTGTTGACAGACTGCTGCAGAAATATGAAGGAAGAAGAAATATAAAAATGATGATGATGTGATTTCGCTGGGGCCTGTACCAAACTAGCATGTACCTCTTTCTGGAATATAACTCGTAGACTGGGGCATCCTTGTAGCACCACAATGCTTCATTTATGATGACATGATGCGACACATTCACTAGTGAGGACCGTGCCACAAGTATGTTGTTTACATGTTTAGTCGGAATTCAGGAGGTGTTAGTTGTTGTTGAGGGCTGGTGAATGGATGTAAGTGGGGGAAGAGGGATGTCTTCTGACTGGTTGATCTGGGAGAATGTGCTGAAGATCAGGCAGAGGGAAACTCAGTGTGGAAGTTTAGTCTTAGGAGTTTTTCCATCTGAGCTGTTCACAGGCCTCCCAGACGGTACCTACAATGAGACATGGGAGAGTTATGCACCAGACTGAAGGAGAAGGGAAGAGAGGATGAAGGGAGGGTATGTCAAGAAATTTGAGACAAACAGAGCAGGATGGGTCGACCAGGTGTAAGTAGGCTTGGCAGGTAATTAGAGGTGTGGTTGAGGCGAGGCCCTGCTCCTTACCTAAGCTTTTGTTGCTGCCTTGCAATGCAACTAGTCTCTGTGGGTTCATGAGATTTTGTTGGTGAGGAAACTTATGTTAAAATATAGCCGACAGCAGAGTGTAAATCAACGGTGCTCCCATTGCAAAGAATTAACAAATGCTTTTCTTTCCATTGAGTCGAGGCGGAGCTGTCACGGCAGTTGCACGTTTCGCCATCTTTCATGTGTTGTTCTTTCTCTTCTTCCTTTGGCATTTAACAGCAGATATAACACTTGCATCCTGAGTTTTTATGATACTGGAGAAAAATGAGTCATGTTTTCAAAATTTTGACATCGATTGGCACCAAAGTATCTGTTCCCATGACATCCGTTATCTTAGTGCAGTGGCAGACCTCATAATCCAGGAGGATCATGCAGTTTTGTACATGTTACACACGTGTCAAAGACACCAGCGAGCCCTGGTCGAAGGGGTCACAGCCATGATTACGAAAATGTTGTCTTCTACCCTCCTGGCGTACTCAGAGTTCAGCATTTACCGATGAACATTAGACTTAAGTGGATTGAGTGTCATGTAGCTGCACGGGTTACTTTACAAAAGCTTGAATCAGCTCTGAACAAACTGTACATTTCACAGATGGTGCTTGGTGAACAGGTTTTGTCTGGAGAGGCTAACCTCTGCATGTCCTGATTTTTCTAATTAAAACGTATTCCCAAATGTCCAAAAGTTGCTCAGTAATGTAATTGATTGTTGTAAATGTTTTGTTGTTAGGTGTGTTAAAGCTCAGTGAAATGACGCAACAGACTTCAGTGTTATGTGGAAGTGGTGAGGTTACACGGGGCAAACAGCCTGTTCTACAGACCACACTGTGTTGCACACTTGTTTATCGTCAGCGACGTCTTGCTTTAACCTGAACTGATGAACTGACTGATCTCTCTCCAGGAACCTGGGGAAGAACGGCCTGTCGACGAGCAGCATCCTCCTGGACAAGTGTCCCCCACCTCGACCCCCTCGCGCGCCCTCTCCTCCACTGCCAAAGGACAAACTCAACCCCCCAACGCCCAGTATTTATGTGAGTGCAGCCGCTCCGTAGAAGGAGAAGTATTCATGATGTTGTTGTGTGCAATGTTGGAGTAACGGTATCTTGGCTACAGCACCAAATACAAACACTCCTTAGTTAGCTCTTCTTTAATGTGTTGATTCTCCCAATAAGTCTGGAGTGCGTCCACGTCCCCTGACAACTCTGTGTCTCCTCTCTGACATACAGCTAGAAAACAAGAGGGACGCCTTCTTCCCGCCCCTCCATCAGTTCTGCACCAACCCTGCCAACCCGGTCACCGTCATCAGAGGACTGGCTGGAGCGCTCAAACTAGGTACCTGACGCAAAATAAAAACACGCACTCCACTTTGCTGCATCACAGACTGCGTTTGTGTGTTTCAAGCATCTGAGTGTCTTTGACTTGTCTGTCTTACATGTGATAGTGACAGCAGCTGTGAGCATGTGCAGCTGGATGTTTTCTGTCTCGTCCAGTCTCACGTGGCTCTGTGGGTGTGTCTCTGTAATCATGGCAGGCAGAGTGTGTGTGGATGGATTTGACATGTATGACAACAGCACCACCTGCAAGTGGAAAATGTTACTGCACATGTTTGTCGTGGAGAAAACTGGTCAGCTTTGCCAAGAATTTACAAACATCTGCTCTTCTATTACAATGACATGCTGCCCTGTTATGTAAGACTCTGGCAGATTGTTCCTGTTTGTGTGTCCAGGAGTTCTGTAGTCTAAGATACAATAAGACAAAATTAATAAAGAAACACAGCTTCCTCTGACCATGCTGCACCACTGATGTGAGACAGACATCCTTAGTATGTCACCTTGTTCTCCCTCAGCCAGACAGGATCAGTATCAGAATTATATAACTGGATATGAAAGGAAGAAATTAAAAATAAATCCTATAGAATTTTGAATTTAAAAAATCTTGAAAAATAACTTAACTTCCCTCTCCGCTCTTCTTCCTCGGCTCCTGTCTTTCCTCCCTCCGTCCACACTCAGATCTGGGCCTCTTCTCCACTAAGACCTTGGTGGAGGCCAACCCCGACCATCTGGTGGAGGTGCGCACCCAATTGGCTCAGCCCACCGATGAGAACTGGGACCCCACTGGCAGCAGGAAGATGTGGCGCTGCGAGAGCAGCCGCTCCCACACCACCGTCATCAAATACGCCCAGTACCAGGCCTCGTCTTTCCAGGAGTCTCTGCGGGTCAGTGGGAGTGGGACACACACACACACACACTGCAGACACAGGAAAACTGATCGGTGCAACAGATGAACCAGAGTTGAACCAGTGTGTCACCAAACCTGTACATGACATGTTATATCCATGATGTGATGACACATACTGGTTATCAGAGATAGATTGTATCACTAGTGACCTGAAACCAGTTTACTTTGATCAGTTTATCTAATGCTAAGGTTTTTCTCCAGAGGTTTCCAGCACCAGTATGTTCAAAGTTTTTTCTCTCTGACAGGAGGAGAATGAGAAGAAGAAGGAGATGGAAGCAGAAGCAGGTTCCTCAGACAGGTGAGTTTCCTTCCTTGTTTCTCACATTTTTAATTTTCCAAAGGTTTTTGTTTACTCACCAACTGTATCAAACTTCTCATGCTCTTCTAGTGCGATGCGGCGAAGGAAAGGCCCTTTCAAACACATAAAGTTTGGCACCAACATCGACCTCTCTGATGAAAAGAAGTGAGTGAGCTGTTTTAACTCCACACAGAACATCTGGTTGCATAAACCATCACACATCACCTCCTTTACATGAGGTTGTCTTTAGAGGGGAAAAGGTAGTAAAGCCCGTTTTACACTGCCTGTTTAAGGTGAGAGTGTTGCGCCGCATTGTCGCCTCACTGCTCTATATGAAAGGTATGATGATGGAATGGTTGTTAAGGACCAGCGTGTAGGATTTAGGGGGATTTATTTGCAGAAATTGAATGTGTTATAACATAAGTATGTTTTCTTAAGTGTAGAATCATCTGAAAATCAGAGTTGTTGTGTTTTTGTTACCTTAGAAAGAGCTGTTAATGTCTGCATAGGGAGCAGGGACGAGGACCCACCATGTTTCTGCAGTAGTAACAAACAAACCAAACACTGGCTCTAAATTGGACCATTCACATTTTCATGTCCGCCACTGAAATTAACAGCCCCTTCATGATGAGCAGCATCGGAAAAACCCTTATCGTTTTTACATGAAACTGTCCCGTAGGTGTGAATGTGAGTGTGAATGGTTGTCTGTCTCTATGTGTCAGCCCTGTGATAGTCTGGTGACCTGTCCAGGGTGAACCCTGCCTCTCACCCAGTGTCAGCTGGGATAGGCTCCACCCCCCCACGACCCCCAACATGATAAGTGGTTACAGAAAATGAATAAATGAATGCTTTTTACTGGTTTCAATCAGTGGTTCCCAACTGGTCCAGCATCAGGGTCCAGATTTCTCCTTAGTCATTAGTTCAGGGTCCACATAGTTTAATACATTCAGCATCATACTTGCATTTGGCCATGTCGTGGAAAAGTGCCAGAAAGTTACTGTACATAAAAATAAAGTGTTTTTGCAAACTCGAGACATTTGTGAGTCACGTGCAGTCCATTCAGAATGGACCAGTGACCCACCAGCTGGGAGCCACTGGTCTTAATCACCTGGTCTGTTTGTTTCAGAGAGGAAGAAATGTCTTTGGATAATTTAACTTCTGGTAAAAACCTCCTGAACGGCTTGATCTGAAGTTATCAGAGAGAAAATAGTGAGCGTACATCAGCAGGATACGGATAGATAGTCTAAATCCCCCTAACTCTTACACACTGTTCATATGAGATGACAGCAAAGGTAGAAACAGCACTAAATCAACATCTGTGTAAGAAGTGTGAGCCGACAGGACGGGCCAAGTGTGACGCTTTGACTACTCGTTATGTGTGCGACTTGCCACCAGGAGATTTAAAAAGCAGCTAGCAGCTAATTTGAAGAAGAACAGCAACAGAAAACGTCCACAGTTTGGGAGACAATTAGGTCCTGGAGCTACTTACCGTCCAGGCAGAGGACGGGATCAAACACCATATAACGGGGATGTTAAATGAGGTTCAGAAAGCGCTGCCCACTGAGTGTATATGTCACATTCGATGGCGACACTATCACACCACTTTTGTTTCTGCAATGCCGACATACTGTATAAAATCACACACATGTGGGAGGCATCATGCCAGTGTCCTTTGGTTCTGTATAAAAAAAGAAAAGGCGGTGTAGTGAAGGGATTTGTTGAAGCAGTGTTGTTGGACCTCTGTGTAAAAAGGGCCTAACTCTCAACCTGTAACCTTTTGTCCTCTCCAGGTGGAAGCAGCAGCTTCAGGAGTTGTCTAAACTGCCAGCGTTTGCTCGGGTCGTGTCAGCCGGTAACCTGCTCAGCCACGTCGGACACACCATCCTGGGCATGAACACCGTCCAGCTCTACATGAAGGTGCCGGGGAGCAGGACGCCAGGTACACACAGGCAGAACAAACACCACTGCTGTCTGTGTCGTTCTCACTCTGTTAGTAACCAGCTCCTGTTCTGTCACAGGTCACCAAGAGAACAACAACTTCTGCTCAGTCAACATCAACATCGGTCCGGGGGACTGTGAGTGGTTCGCTGTGCCTGAGAAGTACTGGGGCGTCATCACCGACTTCTGTGAAAAGTACGTCACCAGAAATGACTCCCTGAGAGTTTAGCTGATCTACAGAGTCGACACTGATGTCATGTTTCACCTCCTCTCACAGGAACAACATCAACTTCCTGATGGGCTCCTGGTGGCCCAACCTGGAGGACCTGTACGAGAGCAACGTGCCTGTTTACCGGTTCATCCAGCGTCCTGGAGACTTGGTGTGGCTCAACACGGGCACCATCCACTGGGTTCAGGCCATCGGCTGGTGCAACAACATCGCGTGGAATGTCGGACCCCTCACAGGTGAGCAAAGGGAATTAATTAGACATGAGCGTGTTCATGGCCCGCTGAGATACAGCAGAGCCTGTCCAGACTCTGAGCGCAGTGTCCAGGTGCAGGCAGGTACAGCTGTAATGTGAAAGTGCTTGTGACAAAGAGCTTGCGGGCTTTGTAACCCTCAGCTGGATAAACACAGATGTACAGATTAAATGAAGAGCGCCTCTCGGTTTTTTGTCCTCAGCACATCAGTACAAGCTGGCAGTGGAGCGTTACGAGTGGAACAAGCTGCAGAGTGTCAAATCCATTGTTCCCATGATCCACCTCTCCTGGAACATGGCCAGGAACATCAAAGTGTCGGACCACAGGCTCTTTGAGATGATCAAGTGAGAGCTCCCTCTTAAAACGTAATTCCTGATACGACCGTGTTTTTCTGTGTGACCCTGGTCTCACCCAGCGTGTGTGTTTGTGTGTTTCAGGTATTGTTTGTTACGGACTCTGAAGCAGTGTCAGATGCAGCGTGAACTGCTGCTTGCTGCCGGGAAAGAACTGGTGTGGCACGGGAGGACCCACAGCGAGCCGGCTCATTATTGCAGCATCTGTGAGGTGAGCACACGTGTCCTAAGCCACGCCTACATCATATCAGCTGTGTCTGCGCTGTGTGAATGAACCCTTCCTCTTTGCCCTCGTCCAGGTGGAGGTGTTCGACCTGCTGTTTGTCACCACAGAGAGCAACAGCAGGAAGACGTACGTGGTGCACTGCCAGGACTGTGCCCGGAGGGCGAGTGCTAACCTGGACAACTTTGTGGTGCTAGAGCAGTACAAGATCGAGGACCTCATGCAGGTTTATGACCAGTTCACCCTCGTAAGTATCACAAAACCACCTCATCTCAGACCAGAAGATCAGTTTAAAGAGATAGTGTGGGGTTGTTTGAGGTACTCATCCGTAGTCAGTGTGTTAAGTACAGTACACGTCAGTCCTCACTTTGGAGAAGCAGGCAGGAGTACAGCCACGGAAGATGAGCAATATACTTCTGTGAACAGGGGGCAGCAGTAACACGAATTTTAGCTACGTCAAAATAAATCAATTTCAGTTTAAATGTGCGCTATATTTAGATTATTTGCACTGTTTTACATCGCAGTGAGACAGCCATTTTTGACGGGGCACTGAAGCCGTTATATCACTCTTGTCAAAGCCAGACTTCATTGGCAAAAACAGTAATTTTACCTCGCAGAACACACGATGGTCTGTCGCTGCCTTGATCAGTTTGTTTGTGTAATCTAACCGTCTTTACCGCCAAAGTCACACAAAATACAAAAAATAACTGAATGAGGCAGTGGTAGACCAGCAGCTCCTGTGTGCAGCGATGTTAAATTACTGTTTTTGTCTGTGGAGTCTGGTGGAGCAGTACAGGGCTGTACAAATGCCACATCTTTAACCGCCTGGAAAACACAAGGTCAGGCGCTGGGTGCTACTTTTGTGCCCTTTATTGAGCCAACCTTCTAGAGCGTGGCGGCAGGTTGCGTCTGAGGTTACTAAGCAACTTTAACAAACATCGTATAGCCTGTTAACCTGAAATCCTGAGTGCAGAGCTGATCTTCTTCCAGGAGCTGTCTAGAAGTGAGTAGGCCTATCGTCTGTGGGAGATGTAAAGCTCTGGGCAGCCCTGCACTAACATGATCAACTTTTCCGTGTTTATCAGACTGAATATTTACAGATGAAGGAAAAGATATCTGTCGGCTGTGATTGGTTGTTCCTCGTCACGTGACATGCGATGTGCACTGATGCGTTCCAAAAGTCAGCTACATTGAAAACAATTAATTTGAGGTTGCAAAACACGCAACATGTGTTCGGCCCCTAAAACGGCTTCAGTTTCCTGTCAGTAAGGGCCATCTGACAGCAACACAAAGCTGTGAAAATATTCTAACTATAGCGTACACTTAAAATGACCCGTATCTGTGGTGCTGTTATCAGTCTGGATTGTTTTGGTGTATTTTTTGGCGCTTTGAGCACCACAAGCTGAGTGACAACTCTACGGCCAATATCTCCAACACTCTGCAACTCACACCAAAATTATTGAGACTGATGAGCAGCACAACAGGTAAGAGGAGGTTAAATTTGGGGTAAACTGTGGCTTTAAATGGATTTTTTCTTTTGGGTGGCTAAAATATGTTTTGCTGCTGCATTTGTACACAGCGGTACAATTGCTTAGCTTCCCTGGTGGTACTCCAGCCTGCTTCTCCAAACTGGGAGAGTGCCGACCATCATTTACTGTAGGTAACACACTATGGATAAATACCTCCTACAGCCCCACTTTGAAATATCTGAACGATCCCTTTAAACACAAAGGAGACCTCTAATGATACCACTTTCATGCCAGAGTCAGATCTCAGTGTGTTCCTCCTCTTCCTCTGTCTTCAGGCGAGTCCCCTGCCTTCCTCCTCTTGATGGTAACACTGTTGTTCTGAGGACCGTTAGAACCACAATGGACTTAAATCGGAAACTCTCCGGAAACCTCTTCTTTTTCTGATATTCAGGAAGTAAGCCGGCAGTCCTCAAACGGCGCTCTGTAGCTCTCCCATAAGGCAGCTGCGTGAAAGCTGTGTGTCTATGCAACCTGCCCAGAGTGGTGTGCCTCCCCCCAGTGGACTGGAGGGGGGTGGCAGCTCCTCCTGTTATCATGACCAGACTGTTCTACTGCTGGCCCAGCTGGACTTCACCAGAAAACACACACACAAAATCCCACATAAAAAATGATGAATTAAGGTTTTGTACATATTATGTTTTAACTGGCAACATCGTCACACAAAGACTACTGACTGGATGGTTTTCTTTTTCCATTTTTGTATTTTGTTTGTGGGTTGACACACACACGAGCTTTGTTCCCTCCCCTCCATGAGATGAGTCATTAGCATAGCTGGTCTTTTGTATGTTAGATAGACACCTCCTCCTCGGTCAGGAAAAAACAGATAAAAAAACTGTTTTGTAATGTGAAAAGTTGAGTGACACATTCTTTGCAACATTTCCCCCATTTTTAAAAAATCATTTAATTTTGCTGGAACTATGATGAGTCTGATTTCGTCGGGGAGAGGAAATCGTTTGTAGACAAACAGCCAAGTCACAGAGAAAAAGGGTTGCACATAGACAAAAGAGTGAACTTTAATTTGTGTTTTTTTTTTTTATTTTGATGTAAATTTACACTATTTATAAATGCATATTTATTGCTTGAAAATATTTGTTGATGGAATGCTGTAATTTTTTTTTTCCAGAGTACCTGCCATTAAATTTGAAGGAGCCTTGTGATTTTAAGCACGGCCCCTCGTACGTTTTCTATATAAATAAAACTGCTTAGTAAGCATTGTACAGAGACCTTACCTTGAAATGGGTTTATTGTTTGAAGGATGTTTTATGAGTCAATAAACAAGAACTGTCTTTATTTACATCTGCAGCTCTGTTGTACTTATTATTTTGTTACAAAAGCGAGGTCAGTGCCGATGGTGTGAGCTGGAGAACTTCAACAACCTGGAGCTCCTTAAATTTGGAGAATATTATGCACAAAAGTGAGCGAGCTGTTCAGGGTTTTAATCAGCGCACTTATCCGTCCTATTCATTAGTCTCGCTTTGTGAGACAAATCACCGTTCATCTGTTGGAAACCTCAAGTAAGGAAATTATACCTTAGATACAACCCTCTTTATAGACCAGTAGTAAGTGGAAACATCAGTTACACAGAATGATAAAAGTTTAAACAATCTTTAATGTGTGGTTAACTTTAGGCAAATAAACTACTTGGTTACGGTTTGGCAAATACAATGTTTTAGCTTAAAGTACCAAGATTTAGGAGCACAATCTCTGCTAAAAATGCAGCGACAAAAAAACAAAACAGGGTCACTACAAGGTCGCTACAAAACATCAGCATATGGAGCCTAACGAGCCGCTGGAAAAACAGTCATGGGTCACTACCAAACTTCCACGCTTGGAGCCTAAAAAGCTGCTGGAATTACAGTGATTGGCTGCTGTAAAACACCTATGTTTAGAGCCTAAAAAGACGCTAGAAACACAGTGACTGGTTACTACAAAACTTTCACATCTGAAGCATAAAAAGCTGGAAACACAGTGACAGGTTGCTACAAAACTTCCATGTCTGAAGCCTAAAAAGCTACTGGAAAGCAGTGACAGGTTGCTACAAAACTTTCATGTTTGGAGCCTAAAAAGCTGCTAGAAACACAGTGACTGCTTACTACAAAAGTTCTATGTTTGGAGCCTAAAAAGACGCTAGAAATACAGTGACAGGTTGCTACAAAACTTCCATGTCTGAAGCCTAAAAAGCTGCTGGAAAGCAGTGACAGGTTGCTACAAAACTTCGATGTTTGGAGCCAAAAAAGATGCTAGAAACACAGTGACTGGTTGCTACAAAAGTTCTATGTTTGGAGCCTAAAAAGACGCTAGAAACACAGTGACAGGTTGCTACAAAACTTCCATGTTAGGAACCTAAAAAGATGCTAGAAACAGTGACTGGTTAGTACAAAACTTCCACGTCTGAAGCCTAAAAAGCTGCTGGAAAGCAGTGACAGGTTGCTACAAAATTTTCACGTTTGGAGCCTAAAAAGACGCTAGAAACACAGTGACTGCTTACTACAAAAGTTCTATGTTTAGAGCCTAAAAAGATGCTAGAAACACAGTGACAGGTTGCTACAAAACTTACATGTCTGAAGCCTAAAAAGCTGCTGGAAAGCAGTGACAGGTTGCTACAAAACTTCAATGTTTGGAGCCTAAAAAGATGCTAGAAACACAGTGACTGGTTGCTACAAAAGATCTATGTTTGGAGCCTAAAAAGACGCTAGAAACACAGTGACAGGTTGCTACAAAACTTCCATGTTAGGAGCCTAAAAAGATGCTAGAAACACAGTGACTGGTTACTACAAATCTTCTATGTTTGGAGCCTAAAAAGACGCTAGAAACACAGTGACAGGTTGCTACAAAGCTTCCACGTTTGGAGCCTAAAAAGCTGCTGGAAACACAGTGACAGGTTGCTACAAAACTTCCACGTTTGGAGCCTAAACTGCTGGAAACACAGTGACTGGTTAGTACAAAACTTCCACGTTTGGAGCCTAAAAAGCCACTTGAAACACAGTGACTGGTTGCTACAAAACATCCATGTTTGGAGCCTAAAAAACTGCTAGAAACACAGTGACAGGTTGCAACAAAACTTCCACATCTGAAGCCTAAAAAGCTGCTAAAAACACAGTGACTGGTTGCTACAAAACATCCACATCTGAAACCTAAAAAGCTGCTGGAAAGCAGTGACAGGTTGCTACAAAACTTCCATGTTAGGAGCCTAAAAAGACGCTAGAATTACAGTGACTGGTTAGTATAAAACTTCAATGTTTTGAGCCTAAAAACACGCAAGAAAAACAGTGACTGGTTACTACAAAACTTCCATGTCTGAAGCCTAAAAAGCTGCTGGAAACACAGTGACAGGTTGGAACAAATTGGTAATGTATGATAATATATAGACAGTAACATTAGTGAAAATAATTTTCTGTCCACATGTTGGGATGTATATAGTGGCCTAACAGTCGTTTGCTGTCTACATCGCTGCCTCCATTTAAAGGTACATTATAACAACCTCTGCACCATCATGTCAAACATTTGACTCCGCCATCTACTGGCTGTATCTATGTCAACATAAAGGGCGCATGGAAGTATGAGTGCAGGGATGTTTACAAAGTTCGAAGCAGACGTATGTATTTTCGTACATAAAGGGAGAATAAATGAGCCCAAGGCCTGTGCGCAGTTTCACAGAAATGCACGGCCGTGTTAACCAGAGTCCCAGCAGCACCCCTGACATGCGCCAAGGTGTGAGGGCCCGCTCATCACTGTTTAGTGCTTTAATTTTATTTATGTTTTTTAATCAATATACTAGGGGATGTGTCTCCACAATATTTATTATAATTACAACCCAGGAGGGAACAACCATAATTCATTGTCAGACTCTGAGGAGAACTGAAAGCGATTTGTCTTTGTGACACTTTAAGGTGTCAAAATATTGAATGGATTGTCGTTGAATATTTACAGGTATTCATGTTTCCAGGAGAATGGATCGGATAACTTCACACAACTGGACCAAATACAAACTTCTGACTTAGCCGACTTACAACTGCGTTGTCTTTAATATCATTACAACATGAACAACTGTCCTGCCTGTGTGAAGAACACAGAGAGACACTGGCACCGCTCACGGCTGCCATTTGTCCGTCTCAGTTGGTCTTCTCGTCCTCAGGCTGCCAGGAAGACTCAAACTTTGCCAAACGGATCACCAGGAGGGCCATTAAAACTGCTTCTCACATAGAGTGCTTCACGTGGCTGTGGAAATATCTTGGCAACATATCGGTCAGAGTATAGCTTTTAAATGTACAAGTAGAATCCAGGAACACACTGAAATCCCAAACTATGTGAGTCTGTTTCAGAATGAGGCCAAACATGTAGAGAAATCAAAGTAGAGCTGCTGGATCTGAACCAAACACAAATGTTAGAACAGTTCTGGGCTTCTGAGCAAGTGAGAACAATACAGATGGCAGATCGTAGATGAAAGATCCAAGCGGTTTTACATGTCTAAGCCACTTGAGATTTAAAACATTGTGCACGCTGTTGGTGTATTAAGGAGTTAATAATAGCAGCGAGGCAGTGATGTGTTGAAATTAGGAGACAGAACAGTTTCACTTTCAGAGCAACAATTTAATTTCTTGTCTTTTTCATAGGAGTTTTTTCCACACAGCTGAAGTCCAGTCTGGTGCTCGCTGGTTTTGTCCACGGCGTTCTGGGGAGCCCGTTATCCCTGCAAATTGCGTCCTGAATTTGCACCATATACAGTCCACTGCAAACAGGCCACAGTCAGATCCCTGCACCGTAACAAAGACATAAAGCCTCATTAGATGCCCACATGGTGCATCCAGTTGACTGTGTTCGGCGGGGAACTATTTTTATCTGAATGAAGTCTACAAGCAAAGAAGGGAGGAAAAAAATCTTTGGGAGAAAATAATGAATCAGAACAAAGTGTCTGAGAAATCAAAAGCTTTTCTCATGTGTCTGTCTGTAATCAATTCAAGGCTTTCTGTATACAGTCTCTCTTTTTTTAAGGTTGAGTGTGCAGCTCGGTTTTTGGATCTGCTGCACATGATTTACTTTACAGCCTCCTAAAAAAGACCTGATGATGACACGGTTTACGGGAGACGAAAAGAGGAACTTGACGATGGTCGGTTTGTAAAAGAGGAACAGAAAACATTTTCTTCCTCTGTGAAGGAGTCGAGAAAAAAAAATGCAACAGATCTAATTAATAATGAAGAACTAAATGATTTTTTTCTGATTTTATCTGATCAGATTGTTTGAGTGTTGTGTGGACAGTGTGTTACAGTCCTCTGCCATGCTTCAGTCAGTCCGACTCTTCACCGTGGTTAGATGTAAAAACTGGAGGGAACACATGAATTCAGTCACCACTCATGTCACAGAAAGCTTTTTGTACTCATACTAACGGCAGTCTGTCAACCACTTTGGTCCAGACTCAAATATCTCAACAGATACTGGATGGACTGCCATTAAATTTTGGAAAAACATTTACACTCCAAGAGTCCTGAAAAGTGACTTGATCTACTGGGATTTTCAGCACAACCATCTCTATGGTTTACAGAGGATGGTCCCAAAAAGAGAAAAGATCCAGTGAGCCAAAATGCCTTGTTGATGCCAGAGGTCAGAGGAGAATGGCCAGACTGGTTCAAGATGATAGAAAGGCAACAGGAAGTCAAATAAGCACTGGTTCCAACCAAGGTGTGCAGAAGAGCATCTCTGAAGCAACAACACCTTGTCCAACCTTGAAGCAGATGGGCTACAGCAGCAGAAGACCACACCAGGTGCCACTCCTGTCAGCTAACAACAGGAAACTGAGGCTACAATTCACCAAAACTGGACAATAGAAGATTGGAAAAACCACATTCAGATGGAAGCATGGATCCATCCTGCCTTGTATCAACGCTTCAGGCTGCTGCTGGTGGTGTAATGGTGTGGGGGAGATTTTCTTAGTACCAACTGAGCATGGTTTAAACACCACAGCCTACCTGAGTATTGTTGCTGAGCGTGTCCATCCCTTTATGACCACAGTGTACCCATCTTCTGATGGCTACTTCCAGCAGGATAACGCACCATGTCACAAAGCTCACATCATCTCAAACATGACAATGACTTCACTGTACTCCAATGGCCTCCACAGTCACCAGATCTCAGTCCAATAGAGCACCTTTGGGATGTGCTGGAACGGGAGATTCTCATCATGGATGTGCAGCTGACAAATCTGCAGCAACTGTGTGAAAACCTACTTGGCAATACCCCGAATTCTGATTCTGAAAGCCATTTCTGGCAGAGAGTTTAATTTCATGACCTTTTCAACCT